CGCTGTATAAGACTACCCCCCACTTCCGAGGCAACACCAGTTCCTTTTTTAATAGTCCGCCTCTCTGACTCTGGCCAATCTGAGCAGGCTTTTTACTAGAACACAGTGTAGCTTCGGGTACAGAACATGTACACTGTGTTCTAGTAAAAAGCCTGCTCAGATTGGCCAGAGTCAGAGAGGCGATCTATTAAAAAAGAACTGGTGTGCTGGGCTGGCTTTAGCTCAGCGGTTCCTTCGACTACAAAAGAACTGGTGTTGCCTCGGAAGTGGGGGGTAGTCTTATACAGCGAATATAGGCCTAAACCTATGTTTTAACTGTAAAATTAGGGGGTCGTCTTATAAGCCGGAAAATACGATATATATGATTCTTTTAAAGTGGGATTTACAAGCCCTTTGGTCTCTCTGAGACTTCTATTAATTCCATAAGTATTTATTGACCACCTACTATGTACCAGGATGCAGCTATGAACAAAACAGACTCTTCCCCACCACACTCCATCATGGAGCTGACAGTCTACTCTCAGCACATTCTAACTTAGAGTTAACGATTTAGCTATTTACTGGGCTCTAGATGCTAGGATGAGTGTAATCCCAGTCTGACTCAGGACCTGCTTTCATTGTTGTTCCTTTTACTATTTAATGTAAAGGTTTACTAATAGAATAAATACCCCAAGACTCAACACCACCAGCATGAACCGAACTTTAGCAATAATCTGTACCCCAAAGTTAACCATACTCCTGAAACTGGAATTTATCCTTTCCTGTCTTGAAAATAATTGTATCTCAAACATGTATTTCCCCAAAAGATGTTGTTTCGCTTTAGTTACTATAACTTTATTAAGAGAGCATCATGCTATGTGAAATAATTGGGAGCATTTGTCCCACTTGACATTATGTTGCTAAATCCATCCATACTATTTGCCGAGAACACCACTGTGACTGCTGATTAATAGGCCCTTGGGTGAATTTCCCACAATGCATTTCTCCATTCTCTCCGCGCTGGGCACCAGGGATGTTACTAGGTTTTCCTCTTCTTCACAGGATAGTGCCGAGCATTATGGGGCGTGTTTCCTGGGGCAACGAGCAAGAGTTTCTTGTGGCTCTGTATCTGGGAGATACGGGCGATGTTTTGTGATACGTGAATGTTCGGTGTTTAATATTAGTCTGTTTCCCAAAGTGGCTGCAATGCGGAAGAGCCTGTGTGTTTACAGCCTCTCCTACATTTGGCATTGGCGGACGATTTAAATTGGGGCAATGATAAAGGGGTGAGAGGAGGCCTCGTTGTGGCCTTGTCGTCCGTTTGCTTGATCCCTAAAGAGGTTGGACATCTCTCCATGCACGTGTTGGTCACCCGTGTCTCACTGTTCACACTAGGCCTGCGCATGCTTTTTGCACACTTCCCTCTTGGGTAGCTGTCTTTTTCGTAGTTGGAACTTCATTCTTTTCATTTATTTATTTATTTAAAAATATATTTTTATTGATTTCAAAGAGAGGAAGGGAAAGGGAGATAGAAACATCAATGATGGGAGAGAATCGTTGATCAGCTACCTCCTGCACACCCATACTAGGGATGGAGCCAGCAAGATGGTCATGTGCCCTGACTGGGAATCCAACCATGACCTCCTGGTTCATAGGTCAACACTCAACCACTGAGTCAAGTTGACCAGGCAGAACTGCATTCTTTTTAAAGGACTGTATCATATTCCACCAGAAGGCTGTACCATTATTCATAGCATCCATTCTCAACTGGGGCAAAATTTTGTTCTTTTAATGTACAAAACACAGTATTGTTTTAATTAATATGCAGTTTATCGGTGATACTAAAATTTCATGAGAAGTGATTAGGAGAAATATCTAAAACTGCTTTGGGTAGACTAATAATGAAAGAAAGACTGGGAAACATTTATTTATATCAATTTTCACAAGTAAATGGCAATGAAGATCTTTCAGGGTGTATATATTTTTTCCCAAGTTCAGGACAGACTCCTGGAACTTGGACCATATGGTTTGAACTTGTCTTAGACCTCTTGCCAAATGGCTTTCCTAATCCATACACACATTTACTTCCAAGCAAGTTATGAAAATGTCTGTTTCACTACCTTCTCACCAGCACTGGGTTTTGTTAAATTTTAAATCTTCACCTATTTTTTAAATAGGAAGGGGGAGGAAGAGAAAGATGGAAACGTTGATGATGAGAATCATTGATCAGCTGCCTCCTGCACGCCCCCTACTGGGGATCCAGCTTGCAACCCCAGCACGTGTCCTTGACTGGGAATCAAACCAGAGACCCTTCAGTCCGCAGGCTGACGATGCTCTATCCACTGAGTCAAACCGACTAGTGCAGCGGTCGGCAAATTGTGGCTCTTTGGCCCCTTGAGTTTTTAGCAAAAGCCAGCTTAGAAGTACCCTATAATTAAGTTAATAACAATATACCTACCTATCTAGTTTAAGTTTAAAAAATTTGGCTCTCAAAAGAAATGTCAATGGACTGTTGATATTTGGCTCTGTTGACTAATGAGTTTGCCAACCACTGGGCTAGGGCAAAGCTTTACCTATTTTAACGAGTGCCATAGCATTGTGTGTTCTTGTTTTTATGATTGTTTCTTTGGTCTCTGCAAAGCTGGACATTTGCTATGTTTGCTAATCCGTCTTTTGGGAATGTTCTAAAATGGAAGGACAGTAGGCCAACATATTTGAAAGGCGGTCCTTATTACAGAGGGGCAGACATTTGGCTGAGTTGCATCCCACAGTTGTAAGGAAAGCAGAGCTTGTAACTAAGAGATGAGCTTGAGCTTGTAACTAAGAGATGAGCTTGGATATTTAGCAGCGGGGGATTTCCTGGTTTCTTCTCGCCGCTGCCCGTAGTAAAATGTGGGCGGGAAGGAGTGTTAGGCACAGAGAAACCAGGATTCCATTATTGGGGAGATCCTCAGTCTATTCAGATCACAAAAGAAGCTAAATTTAGGAGACCACTTACCAGGTGACCTGGGGCAGGTGGCCAAGCCTCTCAGTGCTCATTTCCTCTGGGGTGAGATGGGAATGGAGGTGGTAGGGGAGTGAGGGTTAGAGGAGCAGGCTTGTGTAAACTGCTTAACACTATGCCTGCAGGCCCAGGGGCGGCCTCGTGGGGGAAATGATGGGTGGAGGGCTGCTTCTGGGCCCCAGCTTAATGCCCTCTGGACCCCAATCCGCGCCTGACTACCAGTGTACCCCTCCCCTCCCCTCTTCTCCCCTCCTCTCCTCCCAGGTACCTAACTCCCTGAGGCAGGGGTGGGACGAGGATCCCATCCAGCTGGGGATTAACGGAAGCAGATTAGAGGTGCACTGAGGAAGAGAGGATCTCCATGCCTTTAACCCTTCCCTCACCAGAGCCAGAGCTGGATACCCACATTGCCTCCGGTGACTTCAGGTGCCGGAGAGGGGAGGCCGCCTCCAGTCTCCCCCCCCCCACCCCCCGGCACGCTTCGGGGGCGTAAAGAAGGCGTTAGGATTAGGGTCCTTGGGCTTTTGACATACTGGCTGACGGGAGTGGGGGGGGGGGAATAAGTTCCCCTCCTTGGGCCTCACTTTTCTCTTCTGAAAAATGGGCAGAAGGATGTGCAGATGAGACAGAAAGCCTCCGCATCCCCCGGTGAATGCCCCTCGATGGTTGAAATGTTTACAAGGAGCCTACACTTACTAAGCATCTACAGGGCTGCTGTTTGCCTGCGATCTCCCAGTCCCCCGGGGGCCCAGCTTCGCACACAGACCCACGGAATCCACTTCCAGAGCCCCTAGCGTCAGCCATGGCTCCAGAAGGGCAGTCCCAGGGTCTGATTTTCTTCTCCCGGGATGCTGCCTGTCCACATCCTAAACCCTGGCGTCCTCCCAGGGGCAGCTGGGAGCCGTGTCCCCAAAGGGGTCCCTGAATTCCTGGAGGGAACTGGGGTCGCTGGCAGGAGGAAGTCAGATATGGGATCTTCTCCACCCCACCAGGCCCGAGAACATCCCCTCCCGTCGTCCCCCAGCTGCGCCAGACGCAGAGCCTAGAGGGGGGAAGGGGGCGGCGCCTGCGCTGCGGCGGCCGGAGGAGGGGGGACTGCGGAGAGCGCCTGGGAGGGGCGGGGGAGCGGAGGCTGCGGCACCGCGTCCCGGCCCGCGGCAGCCGAGCGGCAGGGGCGGGGGCGCCGACCCTCCGCGGCTCCTCCCCTCCCCCACTGCGGGGACCTCGCCATTCATCCTGGCGGGGAGGGGGCGTCCGATCCCGCCCCCACCCTCCCCTCCCGCCTCCAAGCCCCGCGTGACCCCCAGGGGACCCCCGCCCCCAGGTCTGTCGCCCTCGGTGTCCGAGTCTCTGCGTCCCCATCTGCCCCGTCTCCCCGCTGTGCGTGTTTGTGACCGTGTGTACCCGGGGCACCTGCACCCTCACGGGCCCGGCCAGGGTGGCTGGCGCGCCGGCCTAGCACGGTGATCCCTGGGGTGTCTTGCCATGATTGTCCACCTCTGTGTCCGGATGACACCCCGAGGCTGTGAGCGTGTGGGTCCCCGTGTGTCTGCCTGGGTGGCACTCTCAGGCTGTCAGTGTGCGTCTGTGCTGGTGGCATCCTGCAAGAGGTGTGCCTCCCAGACACCCCATCGGCTGTGCGCGCGGGTCCCCGTGTGTCTGGGTGCCCCCCGCAGGCTGTCTGGAACGCGCCGCCGGCGCTCGGGGCTCGGGGTGCGGGTCTGCGCGCGTCGGTGTGCTGGTGACAGTGGGAGGCGAGGAGGCCCGGGCCGCCGGTGCCCCTAGCCGCCTGCGTGTGTGTGCATGTGTGTGTGTGAGCGTGTGTGTGAGCGTGTGTGTGTGTGAGCGCGCGCCGCGGAGACGCTGGTTTCGCTCGAGCCGGCCGGGGGCTCCGCGACCCGCCGCCGCCGCCGCCGCTCCCCGGCCTCCCCCGGCGCGGGCCGGGCAGGGATGGAGCTGCCGCAGCCGGGGCCGGGGCGCCCGGCAGCCTGAGGAGCCGGCGACGCGCGGGGCCGGGGGAGGCGGGCCGAGGGGAGGGTCCTGAGCACCGGGGGGCGGGCACGGCGCGCCCCCTCCCTCGCGCGCCCGCGCCCTCCCCCGCGCGCCCTCCCTCGCCGCCTCCTCCCGCCGCCTCCGGCCCCCCCGCGCCGGGGACCGAGCGCGCTCGCTCCGGCGCCGGCCTCGCCTCCTCGCAGCAGCGCCATGGTACGTCGCCGCCCCCACTTTCGTTTTCGCCCGGGGAGTTTTTGGGGTGGTGCGTGGGCTCCGGGCGAAAGTTGTCAGGTCTGGGGGGGCTGCCCCGAGGAAGGGTTGATGCAGGGACCCCCGCTCCCTCCCGCCACCCGGGACCCCGGCCCGCCGACGCCCCCCTCGCGTCTGGGGGCGGAGCTGGCAACAGGGCGCAGCGGGGGATCCCGAGTTGCGGGGGGAGGGCTCGCCGGAGCCGCTGGATCGGCGGGGAGGGCGGGGCTCCCGGGAGAGGGTCCCCCCCAACCCGGCCGGACCCCCGCCCCCTACCGGGCCCGGTGGGAGGCGGGAGGGCGCGGCGTGGGGCGCCTGACCCCGCAGCGCGCAGCCCGCGGGGGAGCGGGCCCGGGATGGGCCGGGGCCGGGGCTGCGGCGGCCCCCGGGCGCCCGGCCCGGCGAGCGCGGCGCGCCAGCTAGCGGAAAATGGCCGCTGCGGAGAGGGGCGGAGAGCGCCGCGGCCCCGCCGGGCGCCTTGAACTTGGAGCCGGGCGGGCGGCTGCTCCCAGCGCCGCGCAGGGGAGCCCGGGGCCTGCCCTGCGCAGCGGAGCCCCGCCCCCAGGCCGACCCCGGCCCACCCGGCCCCTCGGATCCCGCCGGGAGGGGTCACCGGGCCCGGCCGGAGCGCCCCAGGCGGGCGAGCGTCCGCGCCTGCACTGGAGGGTTCCGGTGTCTGGTCCGCGGGCGTCGGTGGCAGCTGTGTTTGGGGCTGCAGTGCTCCTGCTCCCAAACGGATCGGCACGGGAATCCGGGGCTGCGTTCGCGGGTCTGTGCTGCCAGGTGGTCCTGTCCCCGTCGGTGGGTCCCCGGGTCCCCAAGCGTCGGGTCCTCTTCTTTCTGTGTCTGCGCACCCACGTGGCTGGGTGTGTTGTGCTGCGTGTGGCAGAGCGTCGTGCGGCTCTGGACAGTGTGCGTGTGTTTGGGTAACCGGCGGCTTGCCGTGTGTCCCTGTGGAGCGGTGCTGGGAGGCCGTGTGGCTGCGCCGTGTGCCCCCGGGGGCAGCGATGTCCCCGGGTGACCTTAAGGTGTCCCTGTGTGAGTGACAGCCAGGGGCTGTCGGTGAGTGCAGAGTGGGAAACGGTGTCGTGTGGCCACGTCCCAGGGGACAGTTGGGTGTTTCTCTCTCTTTGCAGGCGATGGGCGCTGAGTGTCTGTCTTGGGGATGGGTCTACACTCTCCTCCCTCCTCTCCAGTTCCTTTTTAACTGCCCCAGGGCTGCTGGGGGAGGGGCTTCCTCTGCCTAGCCTCACCCTCACTCCCCCCACCCCCTGCCATTCCCCCTGCCTCGGGATCCCCAATGGCATGGACCTGGATGGCCCTGGCTTGAAGTTCAGGCGGAGGTGGCTCAGGGACAGTCACTCCAGGGGCTGTGCCTACTGGGGAGGGGAGCAGGGAGGTGTGGGTCCCCCCTCTACTGCGGAGGAGGTCCTGAGGAGGGTTGGTTACAGAAGTGCCAGGGGCAGTTCGGGCTCAGGGCTGTGGCCAAACAGACCCCCTTAGCCCCCTCCTGCCTCTATGCACTTGCCAGGGGACCAGGCAGGGTGGGTGGGGGTCCAAAGGGCTGTGTTCCACCCTCCAGGGCAATCCCTGCCCAGGGCCTCTCTGTAACTTTCTGAAGAGGAAAGCGCGAAGGTCAGGCCAAATCTCTGCTTTTGACTCCAGACCTGCACCTCATGCTGGGAGGGCTGTTTGGGAAGGAGGAGGGAAAGGGTCCCGCGTTGACACAGGAGTACAAACAGCGCTCAGGGTTCCGTGTTCCCACCAGTTCCCCACCCTCAGGCTCTTCCACTCCATCCTCACCCCTCCCTACAGCGACTGCAGACACAGCCCTCTCCCGCACACTTCTCTGCAGGCACACTCACTGGCTGCGCTGCACCGCACTCCCCCATCCATCCCACTGTCTCCAGGTGCCCAGGGGGACACGTTCACGTAGGCACCTCCACAAGCGCACACCCAAGACGCATCTTTAAGAGGCACCTGGTCAGTCACACCTGTACATCACTCTGTGCACACAGCCACACAGATCCACACTGTCACACACACACAAATACACACCAGCGCTCACAGGCACCTGCATTTATGGGAGCGGGAGGAACCCAGCTGTGGGGACTGCCCGGAGAAAGGAACAGGGATGTGGCGTGCTGTGTGTCACTGTGTGCATGTGTGTGTGTGTCCCCATATACCTGTGTACGAATACTGGATTCTGTTGTAGGTGTGTGTGCTTGTTAGCATGTGTCATTGTGTTTGGGTATCTGTGATTATGGGAGAGTGTATGCATGTTGTGTTTGTGTATACATTTGTGTGGGTCTGTGTGTCAGTGTGTTTTTCTGTATTTGTGTGCATGTAATTTGCGTGGGTCTGTGCGTGTCTGTGCGGTGCTGTCTTCATGTGAATCTGTGTGTTGTGTCTGTGTGACTGTGTGTGATATGTGTGTCTGTGTGCATCATGTTGGATCTGTTTATCCGTATATGAGTCTGTGTATGTGAAAAATCTATGTCCGTGTGGCATGTCTGTGTATGTCTGTGTGAATCTGTGAATGTGTGGTATGCTGTGTGTGTTTGTATGTGTCTGGATGTGTATCTATGACAGTGCCAACCCTAGTGTCATATCCCACCTTGACTTCTCATGACTGAGGACCTGAATGCTCCCTTCTAGAGCTACCGTTTCTTATCTGCAAAATGGGAACTGGCACTCCATGGCCAAGGAGTGGCATGGTCAGGACCAAGCACTCAGGCCTGGCTCCGTGCTGTGTCCTCTGTTCTGGGGGGAGGGTGCGGGGTGTGGCAGCTGTGGTGTTCCCACTGGTCCCTCTTCTCCCTGCCTGAGCTGCTCTGTGAGTGCCACTCACTGCTCGTGGACATCTGAGGAGAGGACAGAAGTAAAGATGGAACCTTCCTCACCACCCCACCCTGGTCAGAGCCCAATCCAGGGATGCCCTGTTGTCATCAACCTCGTTTTAGTAATTGCAGGTGGAACAGATACACATTCTTATGAAGGACACACGTATATTCTTATAAAGCTTACATTCACATCTTATACCATAAAGGACACACGTATATTCTTTATTAAAAAAATCCTAAATGAGACCTTGACTCCTCCAGCTGAGTCTACAACAGACGTTCTCAGCCAGGGCTGGCTTTGCCCCTATGGGGCAATGGGCAGTGTCCAGGGGCGTCTGTGACTGCCATGCTGGGGTGTTCCTGGCATGTAGTGGGAGAAGGAATGGGGTCCAGACCTCACTCTCCCCAGGTGTCTGTCTCTGGAGACGTCCCACGTAGGAGCCCCGTGTTCTGTGGAGCTGCATAGTATGCCGGCCCGGGCCATGTCCTTGGCAGTGTCCACTGCCCCCCCCACAGAGGGACACAGGGCGGCTGGCTCCAAATTGTCAACACTACTTGCATCATTATCCGGGACAGTTACAGAGAAGCCAAGAGCAAATTCTAGGGAAAGTCCTTTTTAAAAATTTTTTTAACAAAGGAGCTAATTTGTGGTCCAAAATGCCAGGAACTAAATTATGCACCCCCCCCCTCAACCCCCACAACCCTTCCACACACAGGTCTGATTCCATCAGTTGCTTTTTATTTTTTATTTTTCAAAAACATATATTATTGATTTTTTTACAGAGAGGAATAGAGAGTTAGAAACATTGATGAGAGAGAATCACGATCAGCTGCCTCCTGCACACTCCCTACTGGGGATGTGCCCGCAACCAAGGTACACGCCCTTGACCAAACCCAGGACCTTTCAGTCCGCCGCAGGCCCACACTCTATCAACTGAGCCAAACCAGTTTTGGCCAGTTGCTTTTTAAAGAAACCACTGTGTGCAGGCATTGTTCTCACCTCTGGCCAACCTGTAATTGATTTATCCATAATCCAGGGGGTAGGAATGATCATCGATCACCCAATTTCACAGAGTGGGGAGCCGAGGCACAGGGGAGGTTAAGTTGCTGGCTGGCAACATAGATCCAGGCTGCACCCTTTCAGCACAACTGGCCTGCTGTGGACCTACTGTGTGCACTGCAGGGGTCTCTCCTTCCCTGAACCGTGGGAAATTATCTATAAAGGGGTAGGCAAAGTAGGTTTACAGTTGTGAGTTTATGACACAGAATTTCTCCTTGCATTATTTATTAATTATTGTATTCTAACTGTAAACCTACTTTTGCTAACCCGTGTGTGTGTGTGTGTGTGTGTGTGTGTGTGTGTGTGTGTATGGGTTGCTGGTAGTGGACTTGCAGAAGGTTCTACCATCCACCACAACTAATAATATTAGCACAGTCCTCACACACATATCTCATTATCTCACGGACTCTGATGTCTGCAGTCTTCCGAGCTGTGTCCTGATGTCGCCATTTCACACGTGTGAAAACTGGGGGCAGTCTGTGCTCTCCAAACTTTACCAGGAAAGGAAGCTCACCTGCTCCGTGAGGGCGGCGGGGATGGGGCGCGCTCTGAGGAGAGTGCTCCGAAATCCATTTTAACTTTTAAACGTCTGTGAATTGGGTGGGTCTGCCATCTACATGTTCCTGGCTTTTTTTTTTTTTTAAATAAAATATTGCTTTGTTTTATGTTTGCATTTGGGTTCCTGGGCACCTGCCTCCCCCATTCATCCTGGAATTTGCACTGTGGGGGGTTTAAAAAAAACATTTGTGAAGCACTCAGGATGTGCTAAGCGCTGTTTGAATAACTGTCAGCCACACGCTGAGAAGCACAGGTACCAGGGAATCTGCTGCGGATGAATCCTGCTCCCTCCTCTGCTCCCTCCTCGTCAGGCACTGCGGCCATGGGCCTGCATTCCCTGGGCCTCAGTTTCCTCCCCAGTAATTCAGAGAAATGTCAGGGTTGTTGGCCTGGGCGTGGGGCCCGAGCCCCACATTGGGAACAGGACGCCTTTGGCCTCAGGATGTTCCAAGGGACTAGTCAGAAGGGCCAAGCTTTCTAACAATGTGTTGGTGCACTTCAAA